GAGAATTGCTTGAACCCTGGCAGGGGAGGTTGCAGTGAGTGGAGATCGTGCTGCTGATGGCACCACTGCACTCCAACCTGGGCGACAAGAATAAAACTCTGTCTCAAAAAAAAAAGTTCTGGCCAGGCGCGGTGGCTTACGGCTATAATCCCAGCACTTTGGGAAGCCGAGGCAGGTGGATCACCTGAGGTCAGGAGCTCGAGACCAGCCTGGCTAACATGGTGAAACCACATTTCTACTAAAAATACAAAAAGTTAGCTGGGCGTTGTGGCGCGTGCCTGTAATCCCAGCTACTTGGAAACTCTACTGGGAGAATCGTTTGAACCCGGGAGGCGGAGGTTACAGAAAGCCGAGATCTCGCCATTGCACTCCAGCTTGGGCAACAAGAGTGAAACTCCATCTCAAAAAAAATAAATAAATTAATTAAGTTCTAAATTTGTAAAATTGGTTGTATATTAGTTTAGGTGAGATTGTTTAGTGATGAGAGAATAACTTGCAAAATATGGAGACTAGATAATTTTTTATTGTAAAAATAGCCTCTATATTTTGTCCTTATTTCCTTTGAAAGTTTAAAATTGTAATTCTCTAATTAAAATATATGTTCATTAATGTGACTTTTTTTTTTTTTGAGACAGAGTTTTGCTCTTGTTGCCCAGGCTGGAGTGCAGTGGCGCAATCTCCGGCTCACTGCAACCTCCACCTCCTGGGTTCAAGCAATTCTCCTCCCTCAGCCTCCCGAGCAGAGCAGCTGGGATTACAGGCATGTACCACCACACCTGGCTAATTTTGTATTTTTAGTAGAGACGGGGTTTCTCCATGTTGGACAGGGTGGTCTCGAACTCCCAACCTCAGGTGATCCGCCCGCCTCGGCCTCCCAAAGTGCTGGGATTACAGGCGCGAGTCACTGCGCCTGGCTCATAAATGTGACTTTTAAATGTTGACATTTATATTTGCTTTTTCTGCATTTTGTAGAAATAGTGTTTTCTAGCATCTGTGTCTCTGTAAAATAAAAGACAAGAGAGCATGTAATCAGGATTAGTTGAGAATGCAAATTAACAAAATAATGTTGACAGAGATTATCTATCTGTGGTCTACCAGGGCATAAAAATCTCAAAAAACATGATCAGTAGAAAATGTGTATGTGCCTAAATATTAGAGAATGTTGCTTGTGTTAAAAAAACTAGCCGGGCGAGGTGGCGGGCGCCTGTAGTCCCAGCTACTCGGGAGGCTGAGGCAGGAGAGTGGCGTGAACCCGGGAGGCGGAGCTTGCAGTGAGCAGAGATCCGGCCACTGCACTCCAGCCTGGGCGACAGAGCGAGACTCCGTCTCAAAAAAAAAAAAAAAAAAAACAAAAAAAAAAACTCTGCCCTTCATGCATTTAAGAGAGATAAAGTTAGAGGGCAGAGCCCTTCCCTGATCCTTATCAGGACAGCTGAGGTATAAATGATATATTTCTATTTTCTCTCAAATTCCGTATTGGACACAGTTACTCTGTTTCTAATCTATATGTTACAGTGATGCACAGAGACACTAACATAAAAGAAATTGCAAGCTTTAAAAAAGGTGTTGGCAGGGTGTAGTGGCTCATGCCTGTAATCCCAGCACTTTGGGAGGCCCAGGCAGGCAGGTCACGAGGTCAGGAGTTTGAGACCAGCCTGACCAACATGGAGAAACCCCGTCTCTACTAAAAATACAAAAATTAGCCGGTGTGATGGTGCATGCCTGTAATCCCAGTTACTCAGGAGGCTGAGGAGAATCACTTGAACCCGGGAGGTGGAGGTTGCAGTGAGCCGAGATCACACCACTGCACTCCAGCCTGGGCGACAGAGCAGGACTGCATCTCAAAAAAAAAAAAAAAAAAAAAAAAAAAAAAAAAGTGTTATATTTTGCACGTGTGTGTGTGTGTATTTTTAGACGCCTCTGTCATTTTGGCCAGAGTTTAGTGTCATAATCATTGCTCAATCCAACCTCAAATTTCTTAGCTCTCAGCCTCCTTAGTAACTGGGACTACAGGTACACATCATCACACTGGCTAGTTTAAAAATTTTTTTTTGTAGAGATGGTGTCTCATTATGTTGCCCAGGTAGGTCTCAAACTCCTGTCCTCAAGTGATCCTCCCACCTTTACCTACCAAAATGCATGAATTACAGACATGAGCCACAGTACCTGACCCCTATATGACCTTTAATTTTTTAAATTCTGTTTTCCCATGTTTGTAACATGTTCCAAATTATAGTGTTTCTATGGTAGATGTGGCAGATTCACCAAATAAAAATACAGAAGGCACAGTTACATTTAAATTTGGAATAAACAGCAAATAACTTTTTAGTGTAGCTATACAATATTTACATATTGGTGTATAATACATGTAAACAATTATTGGAATATATTTATACAAATGACAACTTATAATTCACCTTAAATTCAAATTGAACCAAGTGTATTATATTTTCTTTTTCTTTTTTATTTTTTTTTTGAGACAGAGTCTTGCTCTGTTGGCCAGGCTGGAGTGCAGTGGTGTGATCTCGGCTCACTGCAACCTCCACCTCCCGGGTTCAAGTGATCCTCGTGCCTCAACCTCCCGAGCAGCTGGGACTACAGGCATGTGCCACCACACCTGGCTAATTTTTTGTATTTTTAGTAGAGACGGGGTTTCACTGTGTTAACCAGGATGGTCTTGATCTCATGACCTCATGATCTGCCCGCCCTGGCCTCCCAAAGTGCTGGGTGAGCCACCTTGCTTGGCTTATATTTTATTTTTCCACCCTGTTGATGGGAACCATTGTTCTTTTCTCCAGACTCAGTATCAGTGACCTGAAAAGCTTCATTAGAGAGAAAAACATTTGATAATCAGCAGATATACTTTGCAGTATGTGCAAAAAGAGTGTGTGGCATAAATTAAAGTGTGTAATCTGGATACCTTATGATGAGAAAAAAAAATAGAATTCTTACCTATGCTGTTTTATCTAATTGTATTATCTCTTTCTGGGATATGACTTACAATATATGCAGTATAGGCTGGGCTTGGTGGCTCACACCTGTAATCCCAGCAGTTTGGGAGGCTGAGGTGGGTGGATCACAAGGTCAGAAGTTCAAGACCAGCCTGGCCAACATAATGAAACCCGGTTTCTACCAAAAATATAAAAAATTAGCTTGATGTGGTGGCATGCACCTGTAATCCTAGCTACTTGGGAGGCTGAGGCAGGAGAATCGCTTAAACCTGGGAGGTGGAGGTTGCAGTGAGCCGAGATCGCGCCACTGCACTCCAGCCTGGGCAACAGAGTGAGGCTCCATCTCAAAACAAAACAAAACAAAACACTAATATATGCAGTATATTAGTAAAGTGATTAGTGATTTCTATATAATTACTAAGTAGTTATTTATAAAATAATATTCTGTGTTCGAGTAAAGCAGAAATTGAAAGGAGAAAAACCTGAGTTCCTCCCTGTATTGGGTTGACTCACTCCAAGGGCCTGCGAGGGCTAAGATAATGTTATCTGCAAAGCCAGGCAGAGCCCAGAAGGAATGGACTCCAGGAATAGGGATGAGAATAACAAGTTCTTATCAGCTTCCCTCTCTGGAGACTCCTTACGAGACCAGCATTTCTTTGCTCTGCTCTCGTTAACTATTTCTGTAAGTTTGTAAAGATTTTGTAAGTTCCTATTTTCCATCAGTGCAACACTGCGAAGGTCACAAGACATACCTGACCAAACCTAAGATAGTGACCATCTGCTGAGAGTCTGCTGAGCAGCCCAGCAGAGGTCACTAGACATGTTTGAGTCATATATCTTTCACTGTCTGATTAACTGCCTTTGTTCTGCTTCTGTAAGCATGCTAAGCCCACCCTCTGAGTTTCATGCTAGTGCATGCTTAAAAGCCAAGCTTCATCTTTGTTCGGGGCTCAGCCTTTTTGATGTGAATCCATTGAGCCAGTGGCCACTTTAATGAAATTCTCTTGTCTCACCCACTGGTCTTTCCATTCTCCTGAATCCCACAACACAACTATTGCTTTTCTTTTTCTTTTTTTTTTGAGACAGAGTCTCACTCTGTCACCCAGGCTGGAGTGCAGTGGCACGATCTTGGCTCACTGCAACCTCTGCCTCCCAGGTTCCAACAATTCTCCTGCCTTGGCCTCCCAAGTAGCTGGGACTACAGGCATGCACTAACATGCCTAATTTTTTTTTTTTTTTTTGAGATAGAGTCTCACTTTGTCACCCAGGCTGCAGTACCGTGGTGCAATCTCGGCTCACTGCAACCTTCCCCTCCTGGGTTCAAGCATTTCTCTGCCTCAGCCTCCCGAATAGCTGGGATTATGGGCACCCGCCACCATGTCCGGCTAAATTTTTTGTATTTTTAATAGAGACAGGGTTTTACCATCTTGGCCTTGAACTCCTGACCTCATGATCTACCTGCATCAGCTTCCCAAAGTTCTGGGATTATAGGCATGAGCCACCATGCCCAGCCTTTTTTTATTTTTAGTAGAGACAGGGTTTCACCATTTTTGCCAGTCTGGTCTTGAACTCCTGACCTTAGGTGATCTGCCCACCTAAGGGGTTTATGTGTCCTGAGCAAGGCAGTGAGAAAAATAGCTCAGAGCAGTCTCAGCTCTTTGAGTTCTGCACAATTTATCAAGCCTAGAGAGATGAGACTATGAGACTTCAATCTTACCCCACATCTGTGCACAGGGGCAATTGTTTAAAGACATTTTGTTTCTGACTAGCTGTCTCAACCATTCTTTCTTTTTTCATAAAATATAGAAAACAAAGAAATATATATAGCCAATCAATACCCAATCAGTTTACCAATAATTTTAATGTCAGTTCTTGGGAAACAACTTAGAAACTGCCTTTGCATTGTTTCAAAAAAGACCGGCTTGTAATGGCTAGTAATTGGAATATATATTCAGGGCTACTTAAATGTGTTATTTGGCGGCCATCCTTAATATCTGAACTTAAATAGATTATTTTCAAATTAGATTCTGACCTTTTTGATTATTTTAGGTTAAGTGGGGTCTGGCCTGGAATACTCTCCTAGATGAAAATAGCCCAACCATGAGCCACCTTCTCAGCAGATGAGATGAAATTAAAGCTCTTCAATTCCTCAAGGCCCAGAGACTATCACAAAAGAGGTGGGCATGTGAGATTGTAAGAACTGATTTTGAGAGATAAAATAAGTTCTGTTTTTCTGTAAATTAATCATTAATGTCAAAGGCACACTGATGTAAGACCAGAATAGGGGCCCCAGTGTTAGATTAACAAGGTTTTCTTGAAGCATTAGCCAACTCCTTAATAAAGGCTTATAGAAGTTATATCTTATGGTCAAGATCAGATTTTTATAGATTGTTCATAACATTTTGAAAAACAAATTTAATTGGCTTTATGCTGTTTTATTGGAGATTATTGTTTGGAAAATTAAGTCTTCTCTCCCAAAGAATGAAGGTTTTTTTTCCTTTTTTGTTTTTGAAATCTTTATCACTTTGGTCAAATTAATGACTTATTTTACAATGATCTATGACATCAAGTGTTTTAAACCTTTGATATTTGACTGAGATTCTTTCTGTGGAACAAAGTTCCATCAAACTTTCCAAAATCAAATTATAAATTATGTATTTTTCTTACCTAATCCTTTAAAATATTATGTCCCTAACATTTAAAAACGACATAATTTTGCTTATTTCTTTTCTTTCTTTCTTTTTTTTTTTTTTTTTTTTTTGAGATGGAGTTCCACTCTTGTTGCCCAGGCTGGAGTGCAATGGCGTGATCTCTGGCTCACCGCAACCTCCACCTCCTGGGTTCAAGCAATTCTCCTGCCTCAGCCTCCTGAGCAGCTGGGATTACAGGCATGTGCCACCATGCCCAGCTAATTTTGTATTTTTAGTACAGATGGCATTTCTCCATGTTGATCAGGGTGGTCTTGAACTCCTAACCTCAGGTGATCCACCAGCCTCGGCCTCCCAAAGTGCTGGGATTACAGGCATGAGCTGCCGCACCCAGCTTTATTTCTTATAAAAATTATACAGAGAGCATTGTTGAATATGAAATGTTGTTTGTTTTTTTTTTTGGGCTGTGTTTGTATAAATATATTATTGATATTTGTTCCAAAATTATGGGAAACTCCTAAAATTCTTATATGACTCAGTGTACATTATTAGCAGTAATTATACTTATGTTAAATTATTGCCACAGAGGTAACAAATTTCCTTGTCAATTGTGTCTTTGACTTTGGTTGCCTTAAAACTTTTTGTCATTAACAGACAATTGTATTGTTTTGGTCCTCTTTAGAAGGTGGTTTTATAATCAGCTATAAAACTCTAACAGGTGTTCTTGAATGCAAGTTTCTAATAACTTTGGAGATTGTGACATCAGAGTAGAGGAAAAAATTCAGAACTCATGGAGAGGTGAAGTGTTCATGAATATGAAGCAGAACAAGGATTAAGTGCATGCACTGAACTAATAGAAGACTGAAGTAATCTTTTTTCTTTTTTTTAGTCGGGGTCTCACTCTGTCCCCCAGGGTGGAGTCCAGTGGTGTGATCTTGGCTGAATTACAGATGCACGCCACCACGCCCAGCTAATTTTTGTATTTTTAGTAGAGATGGGATTTCACCATGTTGGTCAGGCTGGTTTCAAACTCCTGACCTCATGATCTGCCTGCCTCAGCCTCCCAAAGTGTTGGGATTACAGGTGTGAGCCACCGTGACCAGCCTGTATTTTTGACTTTTTACTTAAAATGTTGCTGATCCTTTCTTTTGTTTTCTGAGTCAAGGAAACCTACCTTTTGATCTATTTACAGCTTTTAACAAGTTAGTATACTCCTGTGAACAAAATTTAAAGCATATTTGATTCTCTCTACTTGATTTCTCTAGAATTTGGAAACTATTTGTGAGTATTCTTAACTTGTGGCAATACATTTATTTGCATAAGTGCAATAAGAATCTTTTTTGTTTGTTGTGTTATTTATTTATTTTTTGAGACAGAGTCTCACTCTGTCACTAGGCTAGAGTATGGTGGCACAATCTTGGCTCACTGCAACCTCTGCCTCCCAGGTTCAAGTGATCCTCTTGCCTTGGCCTCCCAGGTAGCTGGGACTGCAGGCGAGTGCCACCACGCCCAGCTAATTTTTTATATTTTTAGCAGAGATGGGGTTTCCCCATGTTGGCCACTATAGTCTTGATCTCTTGACCTCATGATTCGCCTATCTTGACCTCCCAAAGTGCTGTGATTACAGGCATGAGCCACCATGCCCTGCCAAGAATCTGGTTTTTATAAGTTACAGGACACAATTGGAGAAACTGGTTATTTTAGTAACACTTTGACTGGAATGATGTTCTTTTTTTAAGGAATCAAACTTGATTTATGGAGCCAATTAAAAGCCCCTTGGGAAAACTGGATTCAAATCTTGTCTACATAGTCCCTGTACTATGATATTTTTACTTACCACAGGTCAGGATTTCTGTAAGTAAAGAAGATAACTTTCTGACAAACTTAGGAGCCCCAGGTTTATCTTGGAACCTTAAGGGGAGAGAAATTCACCCAACTCAAGTATTTGATGGTACAAATCCATGACTGGGTTTGGCTTTTAAAAAGTTTTATCTGAGATTCCTTCTATGGAACAAAGTTCCATCAAAGCCAAACATCAGGGAATTCATATTGAAGAAAAATTGTGCAAATGTAATAAATTTGGAAAAACACTTTTTCAAAAACTACAGCTTAGAAAACAACAGAGAGTTCATACTGGAGTATATTTTTGCAGATGCAATAAATGTAAAAAAAATTTAATCCATAATTAAGTCCATGCAAATATCAGAATTTATGGTAGAAATATGTAAGGCACTGACATTTCAGATATTTAGAGTGCTGAGTATAGTAAATCTAAAACTAAAGTTGGCAGAGATATTATTTGTATGTAACTTTCAGAGGATCAGAAGTTTTTTGCTGAGTTATAATTACATTCCAAGTATATTTCTTGAAAAATATTACACATTTTTTGAAAAGTGAATAATGATATCATTCAACTCTGAAATTATTTCCTGCTGTTTCTTCATTCCTATTGGAGTCACATGTGAAAGCATGGGATCAAAGATCAAAGATATGATATATTATAAAATATATATTTTATATATTTTATATTTATAATATATATTATATATTATAAATATATATAAATATATATTATATTTTGCTGCATCAAAGATATGAGAGATTCTTTTTGTTTTGTTTTTTTAAGATGGAGTTTCACTCTTTTGCCCAGGCAGGAGTGCAGTGGCATGATCTTGGCTCACTACCATTACTTCCAGTTTCAAGTGATTCGCCTGCCTCAGCCTACTGAGTAGTTGGGATTACAGGCGCCTGCCACCACACCCAGCTAGTTTTTGTATTTTTAGTAAAGATGGGGTTTCACCATGTTGGCCAGGCTGGTCTCAAACTCCTGACGTCATCATCTGCCTGCTTCAATCTCCCAAAGTGTTGGGATTACAGGTGTGAGCCACCATGCCTGGCAAGGCATTCTTTTTTATTAGGTGGGCACTATTTATTACCTTTTCTATAGAAAGGTAAAGACATTAAAATGTAAGATGCATAACAAAAATCTAAGTGGAGAGGCTCTTATAACCTATAATATTGAGTGATGCATGAGGTAGGTATTCAGAGTAATCTGCATTATCATGAGAAGAAAACATGTTTAATTTTATTTAAAATTAAATGAGTAATATATTATTGTACTAATTGTACTTTTTTTTTTTTTTGAGACAGAGTTTTGATCTTGTTGCCCAGGCTAGAGTGCATTGGCACAATCTCTGGCTCACTGCAACCTCTGCCTCCCAGGTTCAAGTGATTCTCATGCCTCAGCCTCCTGAGTAGCTGAGATTACAGGCATGTGCCACCACACCTGGCTAATTTTGAATTTTTAGTAGAAACAGGGTTTTTCCATGTTGGTCAGGCTGGTCTCGAACTGCCAACCTCAGGTGATCTGCCCACTTTGGCCTCCCAAAGTGCTGGGATTATAGGCATGAGCCACTGAGCCTGGTCTAATTGTACTTTTATATAATAAAATGCAGTACATTTATAAATTTTAGATTATGTGTGAATAGTTTAATTCAACATTTTTAACATGTTAAATACTATTCTGCATTCAATGAAGTGCTATTATGCCACAAACTTTAACCTGTTTCACCTTACTCAAGGATATAGGTAAAAGATGGTAACAATATACTGTTTAGTAAGATAATAGATTAACATCTCTTGTGATTTTTTTTTTTGTCAGTGGCTTTCAACTGCAAATAAGTTAAAGAATATTGTTTCTGTAGGTTAAATTTTTATTCTGTTTTTAATCAGTTAAATTTATTTTAATTTTGGTGGCTGCATTAGTATATATTTATGCAATATATGGCATATTTTAATACAAGAATACAATATATAATAATGTCATCAGCGTTAAGTGAGGCATCCTTCACCTGTAGCATTTATCCTACATTTTACAATCCAATTCTACACTTTTTAAAAAAAAATTTTTAAATGTACAATTAAATTGTTATTTACTACAGGGTTATTTTTATGGTCATAATAAAAATTATATATGAGTATAAATAAAATTCATGGTTAAATTCTTAATACATTTTTCAAATTTCTTATATGTTTTTCTTTGAACATGTGGCCTGCCTGCAAACACATACAGACTTTTAGTTTTGATTTACATAGAGTTAAATATTTATTAATCTAAAGACAAACCTTAGGTGTAAGAAAATTATGGAGTGTGTCGGGAGTTTGAGACAAGCCGGACCAATGTGGATTAACCCTGTCTCTACTAAAAATACAAAATTAGCCAGGTATGGTGGCATATGCCTGTAATCCCAACTACTCGGGAGGCTGAGCCAGGAGAATCACTTGAGCATGGAAGGTGGAGGGGGAGGTTGCAGTGAGCCGAGATTGCACCATTGCCCTCCAGCCTGGGCGGCAAGAGCGAAACTCTGACTTAAAAAAACAAAAACAAAAACAAAAACAAAAAAACAACAACAGAACATTACTGAAATTAATCAGAGACAATGCAAATAAATTTTAAAAATTGTATGCTTATGGATTTGACAAATGAATATAAAATATCTATGCTTCCTAGAGCAGCCTACAAATTGTTA